TAATAATAAATTAATATTAATGAGAGTTATAATTGAAAAAAGTGACAAAAATCTCCTCATAAACTACTCCAACTAGCGTTTCAATAAGCTAGTTATGTTCATCCAAACATGTATCCAAAAAATAAACTAGTTTATATTTGCCAAGCAATGCCTAAACTCCTAAAAGACTACTTTAACTAGTTTTTCAATAAGTTAGTTTATAAGTTAGCTTATGTCCATCCAAACATGTACTTAAAAAAGTTAGCTTATGTTTGCCAAATAATGCCAAAATACAATTGGCTTTTCATTAAAAAAAAAGGTGAGATTTAATCATCTAAAATTGGAACAGAATACATTTTATTGTGATTCAATTTTTTCATAAATAGAAATATACAAATATTTACAACTAAAAACATATATTATGACATATAAAATAGAGATCAAGAGAACAAAACTTCTAGAAACTTTCCACCAAACAATGTTTGAACATTTCATATATGAACCAACAGGTTTATATGTAAATCACACAGGTTCATATGTGAACCAGTTAATTAATTCATATGTAAATCATAATAGTCCATATGTAAATTAGTTAATTAATTCATATGTGAACCAGTTAAAATAGTTCATATGTGAATTACACGGGCTCACATAGGTTCACATATGAACAATTTGTTGCTTACTTGTAAATGTTACGAAACTAGCTCCTCTATTTTTCACGTATTCGCAATTTTTGATCAGTCAAAGTCGTAATTATTGATCAGTTAAATCCGATCTTGACCGTATGAAGGGTTAGAATCACTTTTTTACTTCTTAAAATAACCTTTGGATATATATCAAGTAAATAATCACAACAACCACATCTATACTTAAATATATTAATTTAATTATATCAAAAAATAAAATTGATTAATTACAAATTCGTTATAAATATTCATAAATTTAAATAGATTAAATACAAAAAAATCTTTAGAAAAAAACAGATCATGCAGTTAGAAACTCTAACCAGTAAAAGTACTAGAACATTTTTATCTAATTAGTTGATAATATGCTATTTACACGTAAATATAGACACATTTTCAAAAGTTTGTTATCAGTAGATGTCATGTCACCAGATAATTTTACTCTTTTTTTTAAAAAAAATAAGTCTGATTAAAACAGTTCAACCCGTGTTGATAACAAAATAATCCAAATCGAATTCTTAAATACCAAATCATATGTCACAGGCCTACCTGAAAAAGTCCTGTTTTCTTTGCGGAAAGTTGAACTTGTCTCGTTACGCTAAAACGTACAACTTTACGTAAGAGGACGAGAAAAGCACGTGACGATAAAACGAGAGATGCAGAACAAATGCAACTTTTTATAAAGTATATAGGTTAATGAATATGTTCACTTACTGTTGTTTTTCCCTTTTTTGAACTTTCAAAGACTTTGTAAAGTCATATACAAACTTTTTACTCATCAATTATTGATGAATTCAAGATTTTTTATAATTTTTTTATTAACATGTATATTCAATCCGCTATATGAGTCGACTAATCATAGAGCGACCATTTACTTCGCGGGTGGTCCGGAGCCACAATATTTGAACCTCCATTGCCACAAGAGGATTTTTATTTTTCTTTAAGTTTGAATCTGAGACCTCTAGACACTTTTAACCTTTGAAATCAAGCTCAAACCAATCAGACACTACCTTTATTGTTGATTTTTCATCTACTTTCCATAGCTTGTTAGATACTTGACAAACTATGGTCTACAATCTATTTTTTTTTTCAATTTTGTTTTATTAAATAATATTTATGATTATGATTATTAATTAATCCAACCCTTTTAGTAAATTATATGTTGAATTGAATCACTCTTCCTAGAATAATATGTAAACAGTTAGAAAAATTTACGATGGTCTTGCGATGATATATATCTGAGAAGAATCGTCAAAACACCAAACTTTATTATCAATTAAACGGGATTTAAAAAACATATTATCCATATACTAGAAACCAATTAATGTCATGTTTGCTAAAAATAACTGATAGGTTATATGAAAAGGTAAAATGATTTAAAAGACTACGTTTTTGTTAGGATCAAGCGCTTACCCACTACATCAAAAGCAATTGCCTTGGTGAAGGCGCAACCTTATTTTCTTTATAGCGTAGCAGCCAGCGCCACGTTTCGATTTAGGAAGATGCTGGAACCGTGACCAACAATCCCCCCCCCCAAGCATATGCCGGTACTAATAAGAGCTTCGTTAGAAGTCAATGGCCGTGCAGCATGCCTTTCTCATAATTATGCACTCCTTGCATATTATGCACACCATGGGATTCGAACCCGTGACCTGCTCTGATATCAATTGTTAGGATCAAGCGCTTACCCACTACACCAAAAGCAATTGTCTTGGTGAAGGCGCAACCTTATTTCCTTTATAGCGTAGCAACCAGCGCCACGTTTCGATTTAGGAAGATGTTGAAACCGTGACCAACAATTTTTTTAATCATTTATGGTGTTTTTGGTATCAAGACAAGCATGACTAAACATAACAGGATGAAACAATTGTTCAGCTTTTAATAAGGCAGAACGAGAAATGACATAACAGATCGGTAAATTGACCAATATACTCTTACTATGGTGTTTACATCTTTTATATATTTTGATTAATTTATGTAATTTATTAAATTATACTAGAATAAATATTTGTATAACAAAATATATTATAAGAAAGTTTTGACTAAAACGATTAAAATGACATCAAAATAAAAAGTTCATGTAATTTCTAATTTTTATTTTATACATTTTTTTCATATTATTTTATTATTATTGATATTTAATAAGTTATATAAATTAACCGAATATAGAAACCGTATAAAAACATATTCCGAGGACAGTTAATTATTAGTTAAAACAAAATACAATAAATAAAATTTAAAGAGCGAGTCTTATTTGATGTCTTAAAAAATAGGTTTTTGTTTTAAGGTTATAGCAGTAAAATATGAGTTTGTTCCACCTTTTTCCACTTTGTTATTGTTTGTTTCACATAAAAGTTCTGTCAAAAATGAAACGATAATCCTTTTTCTATTTTATCCAATGTACCATTGGGTGCGTTTGTTACATGAATGAGACTAGACAAGCCAGGATGGTCGAGGATGAGGTTAGCAATTGAAGAATTTTCAACGAATTTAAAGATTTAATTATTTAAAATGGGTAATTTAGTAATTTATCAATATTATCTTATCAACTTGATTTATGTTCTTGATACGACAAGAAAATCTCATTTTTATCCCATTCAATCCTATCTTATCTCGACTTATTGTACCAAAAGTGGAATAACAAATTTTTATACTATGATATCTCGTTCTTATTCACATATCAAACACAACCTTATATATATATATATATATATATATATATATATATATTAATTAACCTGGATATCCAACCCGCTATGCAAGCCGACTAATCTCAAGACGACCACCTGCTTTGTAGATAGCCCGGAGTCACCATATTTGAACCTCCATAGCCACAAGAGAATTTTTACTTTTTAATGGAAAAAATAATCTAAAATCATTCAATTTTAGGTCATTTTTCAGAAATAGTACGTTATGCATTAATCATTATCATATGTACCCCCACATTGGTGCATGCCTGTGCTCAGCGCCGTACCTGGAGGAGGGCGACACGGGCGTACGCCCAGGGCCCAAAAATATCAGAGGCCCAAATTTCTCCTTAAAATATATAGTAGTCTAAAAGAATTTAATAAATTAACGAAAAAATTATAGCATATAATAAGAGAAAAAAATAATTTAATAGATAATAAGGGCCCAAAAATATATCAACTAATTACATTGGAGAAGAAAATAAAAAAATTAATTGGTCATTCATTATATGTTATTGTTTATTGCCCCTCTAAATTTTTTTTATCTCCACCAAAGTCCAGTGATATTGGCTATTGCTATCTCTATATGCTTCACTATTTTCGTGCTTCAACAATTCAACGTTAGATAGTTTTATCAATTTCTATTTTTATTGACTATTGCTATTTGGTTATGTTGTTCTAATTGTTTTTGTTGACTATTGTTATCTATTTTTGCTTCTACATAAAATATTTTACTTTTTTTAGACAATTAATCTATTGTTCTTATGATTTATGACGTGTTTCATGGTTTTGTGATTAATCAATAAATTTTTTCTACTAGATGTATTTAGTAATGTCCCTTATATATGTCATGTTCCATAAACTTTTAATATTAATATCTTATTTTAGTTGAGCAAAAAAAGAAGAAAATAGAATTTAAATATTTTCATCAATTGTTTGACTTATATATCTTTCATTGGGATTCCACTACACCATAAGATTCTATTTAAGTGTTCAAACAATCATTTGTTGAGCTTACATATTATATGTTTAATTCATTATTTATTTTTACTAGATTTTAATAGATCATCTTTTCTTTCATATTCTTATTGATCTTCATTTGTCTACTTGTCTAAAAGACTTTGATAATTTTCTTTATTATTGATCTCTCATTGACCTCACAATTATCTCCTTAACACAATTCTCTTTTTGTATCAAAATTACACATATTTCTTGTTAAAAAGTAAAAATTTCTTACGTTTTATAAAAATTTATCAACCATAGTTTATATACTCCTAGTTTAAAATTACCTAATAAGAAGTACGTAAATTTAAATACTCTCATATATATCTATAATAATATTAAATAAATTTCTTTACTATGTAAATTATTAGCATTTTTTGTACTCAATTTATACTAATGAAAAACATTTATTGAATTTTTTTTCGTACTTACCGAAGGTCACTACAAGAAAAGTGAGATTTGATGATGCGCCTTTTAGCGATGACATGTGTCACAAGTTATAACGACGACATGTTGTTATATGTTATTTCTAATGATAAACGGACTTTTAGCGACAACAAAGTGGTTGCTAAAAGCCTTGTTTCTTGCAGTGGGGCCCCTATTTTTACTTTCGTCCAGGCCTAAAAAATGTCAGGAACGAACCTGCCTGTGCTTAAAAAATCCTCCTAATTTCAACCAAAGTACAAGCTGCAATGCATCATGTACAAATCATGGGATAATAATGCATTTCATTGCTTCGACTCAAATTAATCCACTAAAATTAATTACAAAAAAAAAAAACAAAACCGATCTAACAAAATCACTGAAATCGGCAAAATCAAAGCCATAACGCACCGGCTTGTTTCAGTACAGGGATCAATTCACCGGTTATATGTGTTGCCATCACTCGATCCAATCCACCGAACATCCTTCCGCCGATGAACACCGCCGGAAACTGCACCCTACGTTTATCGTTACCGTCGTTTTCCGACTCGATCATCTCAAGTTCCTTCACAACATCGTTCTCCTCATCTTCTTCAAACTCAAACACGCTCGGATTCACACCGTGGCCGTTCAACAATCGCTTGACCACATGACTCATACAGCATCCACGACGAGCCAGGACGATGACGGCGTTTTCCGACACCGCGTCTCTGACAGCACCTGTTGCAGATCCGTCAAATTGACTCATCGGTTTCCGATCACCGGTGGTGTGTTTCAGAGGAAGCGTCGTCCATGCCTTGTAAGGAATTGCTTGTTGCATTTTGGGAGAAAAACAGAGAGATAGTGTGTGTGTGTGTGTGTGTTTGGATTTGGTGCGAGAGATTGAGAGAGAGATTTATAGGAGAAAGAGAGGGGGGTTGCGTTTCAGGGACTTGAAAGGGTCAGGCGTCAACGGCAGTTACGCGTTACAAAAGCTTACAAGTGACGTAAGCATGACGTCATAAATAGTCATTTATTCTATTTGTAAATGCTGTTGGGCATCCCACGTCTTACGTACCCCACTCATGACATGATCACCGTCCTACTTTCCCCCTAAACAGTTTTGGTACTTGTGGTATGTTCTAAATTTTGCTTTTCAGTCCCTCTACTTTATTTATTGTATTATTAGTTACTATGTTTTGTAATTTCTTTCCGTTCCGGTCCTTGTAGCTCGCAAATACTTACCGAAAATCGGTATATGAGCCTCATAGGATGGCCATGGTCAATCGTGATGGTTGTTTAAGCTGAGGGTAATTTGGTCTTTTACCCTATCAATCCCTTGAGACGTTGTCGAAACCCTATCCAAAATTAGACCAGCTACTGTAGGCTTCTTCCACATCACTGTCATTAACTTTCGTCTCTTTGTTGACGATATCTAGTTTCGTATTCCATTCCTTCCTCAAATTCTTCAACGAGTATGTAGAGGTCGACAACGATTTTATATGTGATTTGATTTTATACATATGCAAATGAAAGGAATCAAGCTTGATTCATTTACGGGTGTTATTGCTCTTGAATCGACATTTATGTTTGCTACTCTACTGCAATTTTTCACAGAAATGTGGAAGGGGAACAGAGGGGGGTTTAGATCGACAAGAAGGGGTAAACAGATGATGGTTTTTGTGGTTAACAAGAGGGTTTTAAAAGGAGGTGGTCGCTAGGGTTTGGCTCAACGGGCGTAAGGATTATCGAGGGGATCAAGCTAAAGCTCCAAAAAGACTAAAATTCCGTTAACGAATTTTTTTAATAGAATTCATTAGAGGGACTGAAAATTAAAAAAAAAAAATGTAAATCACAATAATCAGCATAATAAACATAGTTCAAGGTCGAAAACCGAAAAATAACTTGGATAAGATTTCTTCTCCTAAGTAGTTTCTCCCAAAAATGTAGTTTACTTAAAAGAAATTAATTGATACATCTATACTATATTACAAAGCATTTGACAAAAACTCTTAAAAATTATTTTTAATACATGAAATATTGTTTATTGATGCATATTACTTGAAATTCAAGATTACATGTAAATAATGCATAAGTGTAACTTATTAAAGCTCAATATTTGAATTCGTGTAACTAACTACATATAAACATAATCAAATACTGGATAAACATTTTATTTTAAATATAAAAAATCTAAAATATAATTAGGATAATCATTGTTTTCTAACATAATACTTAATTATTATCTTTATAAAAAATTATATTATTAAATCAAAAATAAATTACTTATTTATTAAACTTAAATTAAATTATAATAAAAAAAGTTGAATTAAATAAATTACACAACAAAACAAGAACTTTTAAATAGTTAATTTGATACTAAGATCGATATGTTTTTTTTAAACTTATTAAAATATCTTCAAAAAAAACATTATCGTTTTTTCTCAAAACTACATAAAACCGTATTATAACATCGACAGGGGACAGAATAAAACGAGACATGAAAATCGAGATGTATCTCGCTGTATTGCGCGAGTACCCTTCTAGTAATATAAATATTTTTAATAAATAAATAAATTTTCATTTAAAAGAAGTTTAATCAATAGAGATTAAAAATTCAATATTAAAACAATTGTATTTTTGAATAGGTTTATTTTATCTATGAATTTTCTTATTATTATATAAAAATATATAGTAAACATTTAAAATCAGTATATTACGAGCTTCAAATTACCCTTCGTCATTACTGTTTTTTATGTTTTTCTAAGGGGTGGGCTAAATGCACCCCTATCCATGAATTTCTTCCTCACACACATCAACATCAATACATGCTTTTTACATTCACAATGCTTAAATGACCTGATTCTGACATCAAAGAGGGTGTCATTAGCACTCTCCTTTTCTAAAATTGGAAATACTATTACTTGTGTAGGTACATAAATTATTGATGACTTGAATTAATGTATGTGTCAATTGATTGATGATGCATGTGTGGCCACAAAAGCTCACATGTGATATGTGTTATCATAAGTCGTTATTTTCATGCTATTTTATGTCGTTATGAAAATATTATATAATATGAAATCATCAAACTCAACATCACAATAATCTAATCAGGTTAAAACTGAAAGTTATTTTCATTTGTATTTAACCTTCATTTTGTTTATCTGTATTTACCAAGAAGATACTATTGATTCGTCTATTGTTATACCATAACATACAAAAAAGGTATTCAGGACGTCAACAGATAATATCAACGGTCTAGATCTTCTACGCATACATACAACAACATATATATATATATATATATATATGTATATATATATATATGTATATTATACTATCTTATAAGCCAGATTTGTCAAAAAGTCTTAAAAACAATTTTTAATGCACAAAGTACTATACATTTATGCATAAAGTCTTAAAAGTCTTAAAACAATTCATAATGCATTAAGTACTACTACTTTATGCATTCGGTCTTAAAATCTCTTAATCTACAATTAAAATAACATATAGCATAAGTTATCAATGCACATTATTACTTTTTATTTTCATGTTCACAAGATACTTATGACACTTTTTACTCATGTCTTCACCTTCTCATACATTTATGTCTTCTCCCCATCCCCAAGGTGAGATTCAAACTGATATTCACCATGAGTGATTAAAACTTATCTCGTTCAATTGCTCTAGAACTCTCGCTCTCGATCTCTTGATTTTTTGCTCTTGGTGTAAATCGAACAAATTTGTGGAGTTTTAAATATGTTGGAGTTATATTGGATTTTAAACTATCATACAATTTTTTTCATCGATAGACTGTAATTGAAACTATAACTCTTATTTATTCAAATTGTATTAATATGTAAATACCAAGGTAACTTATATCATCGTTAAATCTTTTCTAATAAAACCAATAAAATTTCAAAAATCATTAAAATTCACGGCTCCCATCATATTGCATGAGTACACAACTAGTATAATATAAAATCAACTTTTACACTCAAATGACACATTTAAGATGATTTATCTCAAAAGGGTTGATGGTGTACAGTATGTAACTCATGGTGTAGAGTATGTAACTCAAGGGGTTTGTTTTTGAAACTTTCAAAAAACAATAGACCAAAAGGGACACGTGTCAATGTGTGAATTAAGAGTCATATTCAATGTCCAAAGTTAAGTTGGACCAAATCAAGGTTAAGTGGGCTAAAGATCATCTTTTATTATTTTAATGTTATCCACTTATTTTAATAATCATTATCCTTTCCTATTATTAAAGGGGTTGATATCCTCACCCCCTACATCACTTTTCACCCCCTCCTCCTCCCACCAACCCTCACTCTCACCCTCACAACTTTCCATCACTCTCACCCTCACATACTCACCCCCCTATACAATCTCACCCCCCTCACATGCATCCATAGGAGGGGATGGGGTTAGAAAAACCCTTATTAAATCTAATATATCAAGAATTGTATGAAAATAAAAATTAAGATAAAAAACATAAGAAGTGATCTGAATCCATGAATTACGTTTATCATGGAAACTGATTTTGTGTATCTTGGTATACTGTATTAGTATTGATCTTCAATTAATATTGATCTAAGAGTGTAAATCATTTATTACCTTTTTCAGTGTAATTTTCATTCTCACCAGAACCCAACCATATATACATATAATTTATTTGTAAAACTAAAAAACATACACAAAAGATTATCAGTAAATACACGTAATCCTTTGGGTTTAATTTTTATTTTAAGTAACTTATTTTTAAAATCTTTATTTTTAGCATTTCAAATATGATATTTTAAATATTTAAATTATAACATGTTATATGTAATAAGAATCAGATGAAAATACATTTTGTATTTTAAATAAATGTACAAAAAAAAAAGATCAAAGTATTTTATTTTCAGTTAAATTAATCTTTCAATTAAAAACAAAATTCTATGGTTATTAAAAAAAACGGAAAATTGTATCAAAATGGAACCAACTTTCACATAATTCCTATTTTGGGGAACCAACTTTCAAAATCGTCATTTAGGGGAACCAACTTGCACCTGATTCTTATTTTGGGGAACCAACTTTCAAAATCGTCATTTTGGAGAACCAACTTACACCTGATTTCTATTTTGGGGAACCAACTTTCAAAATAATTATAGAAAAATAACTAAAATTCGTTTTTTTCCAAAAATCAATGCAATAAAATTTTTTTTTCATTTCAAATCTCGTTTTTTTAATTCAAATATCAAATTGAACATTTTAAAAAAAAATCCAAATTACTACAATAAAAATTGTTTTTACTAATGTAAAAAAATCAATTTAATAGAAAAAAATTAATTGATGCAATTGGTTAGATATAAAAATCTTGAATGTGATATTTAATATTTATTTTTTATTGCATCAATTAAATTTTTTCTATTAAATTGATTTTTTTTTGCATTAGTAAAAACAATTTTTATTGTGGTAATTTGGATTTTTTTAAATGTTCAATTTGATATCTAAATTAAAAAAACGAGATTTGAAATGAAAAATATATTTTATTGCATTAATTTTTGTAAAAAACGAATTTTAGTTATTTTTCTAAAATTATTTTGCAAGTTGGTTCCCCAAAATAGGAATCAGATGCAAATTAGTTCCCCAAAATGACGATTTTGAAAGTTGGTTCACAAAAATAGGAATCATGTGCAAGTTGGTTCACAAAAATAGAAATCAGGTGCAAGTTGGTTCCTCAAAATAGGAATCAGGTGCAAATTGGTTCCCCAAAATGACGATTTTGAAAGTTGGTTCCCCAAAATAGGAATCAAGTGCAAGTTGGTTCCCCAAAATAACGATTTTGAAAGTTGGTTCCCCAAAATAAAAATTAGGTGAAAGTTAGTTCCATTTTGGTGCAATTTCCC